TTGAAAGGTACTATAGCGATTGTATTGTCACAGTTAATCCGCATAGATAGCCTCGTTTATGTATAATTTACATTCACGAAACCAGTCTTCACTGCGAAACACATATACACATACATGGACATTCACACTAGGACTTAGATTTCTTATTTTGACTTCAGGCAAGATATACACGAGACAAACACGAGATCGAATTAACGAGACCTTCACCTTTATTGTAGGATACGATCCTTCAAACGCGCGATCGATAAAAACATTTCTCTTTTTTCGATAATATTTAGAAATTTAATTGTTCGAGAGAGACCAATCAGGACTTGATCATTAGAGAGTGAACAGCTGATTCAAAGAAAAAGGAACAAATGAGAAGCCATGAAGAAAGAAAGCCAGTCACTGTAATAAACTTCTAAACGTATAATTTTAAATTTGCGACTGTCTTTTATTCCGTCATTACTAATTATACGTATAAATATCCGTCCTCGCTGTTTAGCAAATAATTAAAAAATCATCAAAGAACAATTAATTATTTTGAAAGATACAATTATAATTATCACATGGTCGTGACATGTTAGGGACATTCCGAGATTTCAGCTTTGGTTAACATAATACATTATGTAAGACATTGTAGGAAATGCGGCTGTTTAGCGATCTGTTAATGACAGCTGAATTACAAAAAGTGGTGCAATAATATCTTTCGGAAAGAATTGATTGTTTCACATAATTCCTTTAATTCATTGTTAATTTATATTTTTCACATAGTAATAATTTGTTAGCTGATTCTAAATCTCTCGAAATAATTATATTAATTTTATATTGCAAGTCTCTTTTTCAAAAGCATTTCATGTAATCGCAATCATTGTTAATGAAATATACAATGTTATTAACAAAATATTATCGTGCGATAAATTAAATACAAGCTGTTATTTTTATAATTATGCCACCTGATTTAGATCAGAATTTAGGTCTCTTGTAATGGAGGTTCTCTCGTTAGCAGTTATTGATTTTACTTTCGGAAAGAAACCTCGATGGCCTGAGAAACATTTCCGTACATTTTTCCGTATTTATTAAGGCATGTACAAACAGTAAAATATTTAACAATTTTTTATTGCTCAAGTCAGCGTTCTGCAGCTCAATCAGTCAGTACATATCAATAAAAATGTAACAAACTGAGAATTCTTATCAATTATACCTTTGTTTTAAAGAAATGGGAAATAAAAGACATGGATTTAAAAAGCAACAATATATTAATTATAAATAGATCATTACGGTTTTAAAAGTTGCAACAGACTTAAATTATTGTTAGTATCAGTTTTGGCAAAATATATTAAGTGCATGAAGAAGTAAATATACAATCGGACATACAGAACTCGTCAATCTTGACAAAGAGAATGTTTTAGATAGAATGTCAAGTTAGTGTTATTGATTCTCGTACACGACATTATACAAAGCCTGAGTTTAAAGGCCTGAGTTTACGTTCAACGAGATTTAAGAATTTGTTTATTTTGTATCGAATAAAATCTCTGAAAATAGCTAAGTCACCAAGATTACCTTCAAATAAACGTTTCAGAGACACGATTGTGCTTCTTATCAAGATATTGGAAAGAGAAAGAAAAAAAACGTCCCTTGGGAACAAGAATAATAGTCTGCATAATTAAATACAATGGAGATGTCTGTTATTCAAATGAGAGTAAAAAGAATAACAGTGAGAAATAGTATTTTCTCTTCAGTTTAAGTCTCTCGTATCATAGAAACTGTGACATGCATATTATGTAAATGAATGACCCATATTCATGATATATGTATATATTTATGGGAATGTAGCAATATAGACATAATAATAATTATATAATTCTTATTTGATTTTATAGTTGCGTAATAAAGGATCTGCCTGGCATCTTGAAAGACTGGGACTTACGTATAGCTTCTCTAGATATTTATAAAAAATAATTATTACGGTCTTTCCTGGATTGCGAGTTATACACTGCGAAACATTGCGAGAAAGATATGTTTATTCCAAATGCCAAAGTGTTGTTAATGTTTAACAAAAGGCATAGAAACGGAGTCAGATCACAGTTTCGCACGCGCAACCATAAACTCGCAATGGCAGACATCGTTCTCGCAGTTTCCACTGATTGTATAACGAGACATTTTCAACTCTATGAAATTTCCTGGTTGATATAAAGATAAATCACGTCAAGCGAGACTTCGAGATATTATATACGACTGTAACAATTTAGATAAAATTTAATTTAAAAAATATATACAGGTTCTCGTATGAATAAGAATTCAAAAATAATGAAAAAGAAGACAGTAAGTCGAGCTAGATTTTTTTTGTTTTGTACTATTAATATATTATCTTAACTTAATATCAATGACTATGTTTACTACCTATATGATAGGTAGAATATCTTTGTTTAACCTACAGGATAAATAAGGACACCTATTGCATAGGTCGCGAACTAAGGGTGTAAACGTAGCTAATGTTACATAGTGTAAAAACAAACGTTCTGACCTTTCAATAATGGATTATCTACAATGCTAATATATTAAAACGCCGTTAATTTCATCAGAATTTAAAAGCAATAAATACCATGCATTTAAAATTTTTTTTTTAATTCTGGTGAAATTAACAGTGTCATTTTAATTTTTTTACCATTGAAAATAACAGGTTGTTAAAAGATCAAAATGTTGGCTATTATATTACATAACGTTAAGTTAAAGTAATTACATATTGACACAAAACTAACTCTAACTCACATACTCTTACTCACATATTCTTTCTTTCGTTAAATTTCCTTAAATTTTTAATCCAATATTTTTACATATATGTGAACGGTGTGTAATAATGACAGTGTGTAATTTTAAACAATAATTAAGTTTCAAAGAATTTATAAGTTATTACTATAAATGTTGTTTATTGAATTCAACCCTCTCTTTTAATGCACTCGAAGATAAATTTTGAAAATATGAATAAAAACATCTTTTTATTCATCTTTATCTTCAAAATTTCTCCGCAACTTCAGGATCAAGAAAATGGAGCAACATCCCTAATCATCTTCTATCATTCGCGCCTCTAGTTATGAAGAACTATCTGACGAAAATCTCTGATCACGTCGCTTCGCGCATCATGCTGAAACATCCCCTTGAAGCGCAGCGTTAATCCCCCCCGAAGGACTGAAACGTCGACACGCGAGAGAATCTGCGGCGCGCAATTTTATTTACGTCAGAGGAGACCTGCCATCTTCCACAGGGATGCACACCTGATATCAAATATCCCCGAACTAATCCCGCAATACCTTAACATAGAGCTCCCTCGTAGTCATCGCGATCCAGATGTCGGGCACCTGGATCAGGTAGAAGCTGGGTCAGGAGGTATACCACAGGTCAGGTACAACACGATCACACGCGCGTACCACTACACACCGCTCACATGCACACGCGCGGCAAAAACGACGACGACGATGACGACGACGACCAAGTATCTACAGCGTTGGACGCATGCGATCGAAAGCCGCACGCGCTATGAACACCGTCGACTTCGTCGGGATGTCACCTGACAAAATTCACGGCATGTTTGTTTTTCCTTTTTTTTTCTTTCTTGGTCCCTGTCGTTTCACTACTCTTTAACGTGTTCCTCGAGATAAACGGGCACTTCTATTCTCCGCGAATGGTACCAGTTCGCGCCGCGATTTATTTCCCAATACAGGCTGCGACCTTTTGAAAGAGCGATCCGGCACCACTAGCGAGAGCAACCTCTCGCGAAGGTCGTACCTCCACGTAAACGACGGCACTGCCGCTGCCAGCTGGCTCGTTATCGGGTTTAGATTGCGCGCCCCTCTCCGACGACCTCGACGCCCACCTTCGCCAGCCCGCATCGCGGTATCATTGATGTCTCGCTCTGACGCTCGTTGGTGGTATCGTGTGGTCCTCCTTGAAGAATCGAAGACCAACACTGGCGACGTTCGATGTAGAGCGGACTCTTGGAGAACGTTCCAGTTCTAAATAAGAAGAACGCAACTCAATGGATAGCCATTAATCTTAGTCCAGAAAGAAACATCATCCAGAAAGTTCAAGATAATTTTAAAAAATTAAAATGTCTAAATATATCGCAAATGTATTGGGAAAAATATTAAATTCTTTCAAACGTTTGTGATATTCTCGATAAGACTTTAAAAAGCAGCAGACTCTATGATAAGTGTAATAAGGAGAATAAATTTACTTCAGTTTTTATTTTACAATCGTAATTCAAGCAATTTGAATTTGGCTGCTTTAATATTTTTAAAGGTTCTGCAATAGTTAACAGTTTTAATGTGTACATACATATGCACGATAAAAAATAATAATATTTGTAATCAAACGGAAACTGCATTACGTATCATTGCTCGGATTAAAATTCTTGATAAACCAGTACTGGCTTTTATCCACCAACACTTTTATCATTGCTTGTTCATCTGCCGACGCCTATCTCTGTGATCATTTGCTGGTAACGGAACTTGGAGCTCCAATATATCAGTCTATGTTACAGAATATCTGCATGACTGTATTTACCTTTAGACAAAATCTTATTCGTACATAAAATGTCTATTCTTTCACAAAACTGACATAAAAACTTGAGAGAATTGATCCAATTTTTCATTTTAAGGCAAAATAAAATTAAAAAGATATCAGTTTAATAATTATTAATAATTATAATAGTAAATATATAAAATAGGAGTCATTGAAAAAAAAAATTAAATTGCATTCAAAAAGTAAAATAAATTCTAAATAAATAACAGTAAAAATGCACATAAAAAATAGCTTATTCATGGATAAAACATAAACAACGAAGAATCAGAATATGAACGTATGCAAGTTGCTAGAAACTTCAGTTTATGCTGGAATCTGACATTTAGTGACATAGATATTTACATAGATATTTATTAAGATAGTTATATAATTTATAATTACGTTTACGCGTAAATGTTCAGTAATAGAACAGAAGATTAGATAAAGTATATGACTAAAACATGGCATTTTTTCAATTAGTTCTCCAAGCGAGGAATCTAGAGAAAGCTAGATTGAGGTACGAAGATGAGAAATTGAGATCGATTGAGATTTCCGAGGGTGTCAAGCCGCATCTGACTTTGAAGCAGCGTCTCCGACGAAAGAGATTAAAGTGAACCTGCCATTTAACTCCTTTTAACTCGTTTAATCTATCGATCGATATTAATTTTACGCGTAAAATTTTACTTTATTATTTATATATTACATTATATCTTTAAAAAATACATCAGTGCTTCTCTCTCTCTCTCTCTCTCTCTCTCTCTCTCTCTCTCTCTCTCAGAATTTTGATGATATTTTTAATGCCATAAATATTTTATTTTAGTGTACTACTACTTCTTTTGTAATCAAGCTATAGCAAATATCGCACTTTTATAGATACAGAAAGAAGTTTAAGCATTTCTGGAATCGAATAATTTTCCCTTTAAAGAATACATGGATTCATAAAAAAGTGAGACTTCTTTGGATAGATGGTTCGCTTCAAAATTATACTTTGAAGAGTATTTTTGGATTTTTGTTCGGTATATTTCTTACATATATGTTTTTCGTGTTCTTCGTGATTCAACTAAGTTTCACTCTCTCGTCTGCAACGATATTGTGCTCGATCCTCGGAATGATTCTCACACTCGGTTTGGCGTTTTCTCATCGTGTAAGGTAATTTCGCCTTTCATGAATTTCAATGATATAAATATAAGAGAGTTATGATCCATGGAATATTTAAATTATTAAAATTATAATTAGTCAAAATTCTACCTTGGAATTTTTTACTTTTATTATACCCTATAATTTTATCTTCTTTTTATATTCTTTTATGACTTTATATGAACATTTGCACAGGTGTATCGTGTTTCTATTGCTACCGCAGTTCTTTTCTAAACGTGGCAGACAGGCCTTGATAGCTTATGCCTTTATTCTAACACTTACCGGACCGTCAAAGAATATCTTGCATAATATTAGTATCCTTTCGGAGTCTTTAGCCTGTGGACAGGTAAGCTCTCACAGGTGAGTTCTCTTATGCATTCCACTTATGTCTTTACACAATATCCGATCCTTGAAACCATACATTCTTGGTTCTATTCATCGTTAGATCTTTTGTTTGATCGACAATGGCTTAAATGTACCATCAGTTCCGCAATCTTTCCGTTGCGTACGCATTCTCGAATTCATAAAATTGATTATGTCTTTTGATTTGTCATCATTATTTGAAATTGTTATTATTAATATAATTTATAAAAATATACATATAGGAACAATTAAAGCAAGCCTTGAAGAATGTAGTTGATTTAATAAAAGAACCCTTCTACGCTTTGAGAGACGCAATATCGAAAGTAATAAAGACGATAAAGGTGATCATGAAGAAAATTAAGCGGACTCTCGTAGCTATCAAACGACTCATGCTAAGTATACGTGAGTCAACATTTTTCCATTGGCTTTGCATATAATCAATCTTCGTAACTTTAAAAATGTATCTTTCAGTAAGAGTGATCACGTCGGTTTTCCAATGGCTGGGCAGGGTTGTGAATATTTGCAACAAGAAGCTGGGTTCGCCGTACGACAGGTGTCGGACAGTCTTTGAAGGTGCGGTAGATGACTGCAAGGCGAAGCTTGGTCCCCTTTTCAAAGGGATTTGCAATATAACGTACGTCGTCCGTACTTTGTGCTATACAGTGAAACCTCTAGACTTCATCTGCATACTCGTATCTTATGTCGCTGATACTATAGTTAACGATGTACAGGAAAGTATGTTGATGTTATAAATGTATAAAAGATTTTTAAGAGAAAAAACTTTATAAAGGAAGCTTTATACTAGAATAAATTTTTTTAAATTTCCAGACTCATGTAAATGTCAACGATTTTTAAATTTATCGGAATACAATCTATTTACAATTTTAAATATTCATGAAATATTTAATCATAAGCATAAAACATTTTATAACTTTTTAAATAAAAAGAAAAAGTAAGAGAACTCTTTATATTAAAAATAAAATTTGCATTAAAGTCGATAAATGAGAGTACGGCGATTTATGAATTTAAAAATTTTTCCATCAGCATAATATTGCTAAGCTTTTATGTACTTCTTTCTGATTTAATATCTTTTGCTTACATAGAGATCAAAAGATTCACTCGCCACATAAAAGCGATGTTCTACGTTAAAGTGAAATTTTCGCATTCTTTCCATTTTGAGACGAATCAAACTAAAACCATCGAAGATGTATCAACTGATATAATTACAGAGATACAAGCAAAGACCAATAAATTTTTAGCTGTATTTGATTGGATGAGTTTCGTGACCATTTTCTTCATTTTTTTCATGCTGCTAAGGTAAATTTTAAGGTGTAATTTTAATAATTTGCAACCAAAATAATGTTGTATTGAAACATTTTCTAAAGGATTTTGCATTATCGGCATAAATGGCTGACGAGCGATCGGTTTGATAATCGCTACTTGACTGATGATCTGCGTACTATCGATCTAATAAGAACACGTCAGGATAAGGAAACCATTTTGCCGTTAAACCGCCGCGAAAGAAATCAATACATCCCACTGACGTCCGTCACTCTGATCAAAGTAGAAAAAATAAAGCTCGCGAAATCTGTAGTTTTTTTGGGCTTAACGACGATTAAAATCTGCATTCATATGATGGCGGACTACAGTCTTTATTGGGTTCTTAGCACTATTAGATATAACGGACGGATCGAAATGAAGGTATTTTAACGAGACTAATATTGATTAGTAAGTAAAAATATACCTATGCTTCAAGAATTTTTTTTAGATCCTTTATATTTATTTATTATCTTTTATGATAAATGTAACGATAAGAAGCTATTTTTAAATCAATTTAAAAATAGCTTTTAATAATAGTGAGTGAAAATTGATTGAGAAATGTTTAATACAAATAAGCGAAGAAAGTCATATTTGATCAAAATGGATCTTAGTATCTATAATTCCAATAATTTATTTTTGTATAAATCTTACAATTTCCAGTTCAAGCATCATCAATTTATTCTATTGCTAATCAATTTATTTTAAAATTTATGATCAGCAATTGGAATTTCTGAAGAATTAAATTACAATTGACGTACATTTCGCTGACTGAGTTAATTGAATGTTCTGTTAGCTTACAACCGCAATTTTGTTATCGAGATTTGCGTGGAGTGCGGCGGTGAATATCGACAATCGGCGGTCGGATATATACCGCGGCGTAGAATAATCACGATGGAAGGTAATATAATGGCGGAACGTATATATATATATATATATATATCGATCTAGGTCCAACGACCCAATTTCGTGGGCGTCCATGTGTCTGGTGACGGCTATCTCGCCGACCTTTATCGAAGCATCGTGAAAGCCTTCACGCCACACGCGAAGGATGTAGAAATCAATATGATACCCTGCCTCCCAGATCCCATCCCTCCAGATTTAGATCGGTATACGCAGATTGTGACGTTGATCGCCTTCTGCTGGATTATGGCGATATTTGAACCGTACGGATTACGATTGCGACATATCGTGATGTGCAAATATCATCCGGAAAGAGCAAAGCAAAGAGCTGCTTGGTTGTATAATCATATAATTAGGTAATGTATTTTCAATTAGCTAATGAAGTAATCGATCGGCACATTGATATCAAAGTACTTTTAACAAAGTTTTATGTTGGTCGTTGCATTTTTATGCAATATTATTAAAGGTTGATGTCGGTCTATTACATTAAAAGTACGTTATACGCTCCGTCACTTTTAATTGAGTATTAAAATCTGATAGGATTAAAATAAAAAATATTAAAACCCTCTTGAATATTAAATTATATGAAAATAATACGATGTTTCTTCCATCGTGCAATTTTTCATTAAGTTTTTTTTCTTACTTTAATCGATATAAACTGCAAACTGCGTTTAATGAGTTCAATTCGTGCACAGATCGAGAGGAAGCTTTCTGAAATTTGCACGACGCCAGTTGCGCCGCAAGTTCGGCATGACTGAGGGAATCGAGAGAGTCACGTTCAGAGAACGATGTCTGGCTATTTGCCCTTTCCTGAACAAATTCTTCCCTCAAAAGCAGAACGTGTGTCTCCTGTGCGGTTCCGTGGAACGTTCCGATCAGGAACCGCACATTAAATGTGTTACGCCAGGCTGCCTCGGTTTATTCTGCATCCAATGTTTCGCAGACTTGCAGAATCTCTGCACGATTTGCCGATCGCCTATCGAGTACGGCGATTTGTCGGATATTAGCGAGGAGCGGTAAGTTCTAATAATAAATGTTGCAAGAAGATTTTTTTAGAAAATACGAGAATAAAAGTATTATGTAACATATTACAAGCAGTGTATCGCGTCTTTAAAAAAATATTTATTTATGTTTTTTATATTTATATTTATAAATATTAAAAAATAATTTATTGCTTTTCTAATTTAATTATTCTTTAGAAGAATTAAACGTCAATTTAATTACAATTTAAAAAAATATTCACGTCTTACGAGTTTAAAATATATTATGAAAACTATACAATATTGATTTATTATCTCGTTTATCTTGTTTTTAATCGAGTCAGAGATTCGTCGGATGATCAATTGATTGCAAGAAAGGAACCTGTGCCAATAAGTTATGTCGATGAAAGAAAAGAACCAATTGTAGAAGAAAAACCAAAAGAAGAAGTAGAAATAAAAAAAGAAATAGAAGAAGAAATATCGGAAAAAAGGGTACCAGAAGAAATAATACCGGAAGAAGAAGTGCCAGAGGAAAAAGTGCCAGAGGAAAAAGTGCCAGAGGAAAAAGTGCCAGAGGAAAAAATACCGGAAAAAAGAATATCTGAAGAAATGAAAGAAGAAAGAATAGTTGTTGAAAAGAAGAATGTAGCAGTCCAAACAGACGATGATACTAGTGGAAGTAGTTCTGAGTCGGTCTATAGTTATAGTGTGTACATCACTTTTATGTTTCGCATTATACTTTTACTACAAATGTATGCCTTCGAATGCACGCAATTTATTTCACAAATTATTCGTAAAAAAATAAATTCGAGTAAGTTAAAATAATAATTACATGTGTCAGCTTATCAAGAAGGATCACGAGAGATCGAAGTCGAGCATCGGAGAATGCCATTCAAAGACATTGAAGCGCAGAAAATAAGAGAAGACGTTACGATTCAAGTGAGGCATTATAAACAAAAAAAATTTTATTAAAAATTTATATATATATATATATACATATATGTATATAAACAATTTTTTGCGAAATTAACTTTAATGTAAATAAACTTTTCAAATTATAATCTAATACTTGATATCGTGATTTGTAGATAAATAAATTATCAGTTTTAGAAACTTTAATCAAAAGATTCAATTTTTTATTGCTAATAAAAAAGCAAGTTGACTTCAATAATAGATGCCAATAATCCAAAAAACTGCTCAGTAGAAAAAACGTTCGATTTAGATTTTTAACGAGCCATTGGCGAAGGAAGTTACTTCGAGCAGCGAGGATCCAACATCCTGTTTCGTGGTGAGAGCTCGTAGGAGGCTTCGTACCAGGTTGAAAAGGAAATCCTGCTCTTCCCCGCGTAAGAATGATTCCAGTTCGTCTACGTCAATAGCGGACACCGAGTCTTGCACTACACAAGAGCTAGATGAGGAAGAGGTAATTCACATTGAGATAGACGACAGCTCAAAGGAATTACTCTTAAAAGACGATACTGCCAAAGCAAGAAAACGAAGTAGTCGCGTAAGAAGAATCCTTGCTGCACTCACAAAAATTTCTTGGCTCGGTAAAAGAACGGTAAAATAACATCGATATCTCGCTAATTTCTTTTTTTCATTTTATTTTTAATCAGTAATTTCTGCATCGATCACTTACAGTGAATTTTCGTTTCCTTTTAGACGACCGATAGCGATGGCGAATGGCGAATGAGAAAACCGTCTCTCCTAGATAGAATAGTACGGATGCTTTCTGGAAATCAATCTACCTCGCCCGTACAAACGTATCGACGAATTCGCACTACGAAAAAAGATGCGAAGCATAAGAGCTCTTCTTCCGTTTCCTCGTCTTCCACCGATGAAGAGAACGAACAGCACGCGCTCTTAAAGGCGCATGATCGGCAAGTAAATTGTTTGCAAATCATTTCAGATCATGACGATTCCGAGGATAACATTTACAGCAGAAATTATGATTCGCATCGTGCACGACGCGGAACGATCTGTCGCCAACCAGATTCTCACGTGAGAGCTGACGATGTAAAACTGAGACATCCTCACGAGAAGAAATTTACGATGAAAAAGTTACCAAGGTATAGCAAAACTATAGCTTAAATTAAATATCACTAAATAATAAATATGAAATTTATAATATCGCTTATTTACTACAACTAAATTGTCATTTTTTTAGTTGCTTGCAAAAAAAGAGCTGAAAAGAAAGAAGATTATTTTAAAAGAACATACTTTTATTCCTTTATAATCAGTTATTATATCAAAATTGTACTTAAAGTTAGTATTACAAAATTTTAATAATTCAAAATATTTATTTTCTGGAAAAAACTTTGCTTGTTTTTAATTGTCATTATATAGTAAACAAGCGATATAGATATTTTTATAACGCTAATGTTGTGCACAATGTAATCCGTGTTATTAGATATCTTCAGCCAATTTCGAAGGATACGACGTACTTCGAAGTGAACGAGATTATAGATTCGAAACGAAGATGTGTTCTCCCGACAGTATGCGTTAATATTTTATCAGATACCAGAATATTCGACAATCAAAAAACAGACAAATCAAACGTCACTAATGATGATTACATTCAAGTATCATTTTCTACTTACTTCTGTAAAATTTTAATTCTCTGATTAGCGTCGATCGTTAAATATATCATATTTTAAAAATTAAAACTAAAACAAAATTTAAACTAACTATCTAACGAAAATAAGCAATACTTTATTCATACATTATTTAATATTTCTATTATTCTCAAGTCTATAATGTTATATTTATTTGTATTAATAAAATATGAATTTATTTAGATTCCTTGTTCATGTATGTCGCAAACATCTTGCGATGATATCAAAGATAGCATAAGTCAATCGGACGTGAGTATTACAGAACAAACTAATGAAATGTCTAAAACAGACACAATGACGGAAACGGAATTGTTGACTACTGATTGGGAAAGATTAGATCGAAGTATCTTCTGTTTTAAAATACACCAAAAAAAAGAAATCAGCATATTCAATCAAGCATATTTGTCTGATTTTCAGAAAAAAAAGCAGAAGAAATTGTCACTACGGAAGAAACATCGATAGATAGTGAAATAGAACAACAAAGAGCTCTAATCGAAAATAATCGAAAGGGATCGTTAGCGAAAAATAGCAAAACAATTGCGGAGTTAAATAATTTTGCAGAAGAAATAGGTGTGAGAAAATACTTTGCCAAAAAGAAACAAACTGAAGAATTATCTGACGAAAAAAAAGCCAGAAAAGAAATAATAGCATCACCTTCGGAAATAAATGAAAAAGCTCGATTGTACGATCCGTTGGCTAGTTCGGAGTTGTACAGCGTCACGTGCCAAGTAAAAAGACGCGAAAAACCTACTATGGAAAAATTAACGAAGCAATCGGGAACGGCAGAAATACGTATTGACGATAGAAAGTCGGGGGAATTTGAAGAAGATATTGAAATGGAACAAAAAAATGTTCAGATTTCTGCACATGAAACTAAAAAATCTATTGGAAAAAGTATTCAAACAGATCTGCGAAAATCTGAAAAATACAAAAGGTGTGATAAGATGTTGCATATCGACACGCAATTTTCCAGAGCAGCTGACTTGGAAAAGAAAAAGAAAAAAGAAAACAGAAAACATGAAAAATGGATCGATAAATATAAATATAAACAGAGGTAACGAAAAGAGAAAATGCAATAAAAGAAAAGATTTTTTAAAAATTATTTAACGTATTTAATTATTTAATTTACTTAATCTATTATAAGAATATAATTATAAGAATACAATTTCATGTTATATATAGAGAACCTGATAGTAGTTCACCACGAAAAAAACAAAAATATTGTAATAAGCCAACACTGATTAAAGAAAAATTTTATGATAGAAGAAAGCAAAAAATGATTTGTAGTCGCGATATGCAAATTCATGGACATCCCAGGTAACATTCTCATATTGTATTTTACATTTAAGTTCCTAAGATCAATGATTTGATAGTACACGGAAGACTTTCTTTGTGTAAGTCGCACAGAATGGTGTCCTGACAATATTCGAAGACGGAGAAGAGTCGTTCCTCCGTTAAGATCAGTAGCTGAATTAAGAGAAGATCGTCAAACTCGGTGTAATCTTCGCGACAGGGAAGATACTCAAAGCACGAAAGATGATGCCTGCGATCTGAAGTCTGCAAACAAGTCAGAAGTCTGCTCTTGTCATGTTCAGCCACAATTTACAGCATCTGAACAAATAGTTTGCTATCAAGATTATCAACGGAAATTTTTGAGTTCAAAAAAATATAATAATGAGTATGTTTATATAAAAATTTTATCCTATCTTAGAGAAAATAAAAATATTATATATTAAATAGGAATATTATAGAAAATATACAGAGTGGAGCAATAACTATTACAATCTTAAATATCTTCAAATCTTTTTATAAAGTGCAGAAAAAGATTTGCGTAACTAAAATTGGATACGGAGGCTATCATATAGCGATAATAATTTTTTTCGAGGTGGAGGTGCTTTGAAGACATCAAGGTCATCTTAATTTTTTAAATAAGTTCGAAAATATTTTTTTCCATAACATGATAGAGGCATTCAAAACAAGTTCAGAACTTATAACCTAAGATTATCGGACAAGATTGAAAGTTAAAAAACAAAAAAGTTTATCATAAACTTGTGTTTCATTTTATACATATATTGTATATTATGTAACATTTTATTTTTTATTTTATTACTAATTAGCATATTAAATGGCGTTTGTAATGTTTATGAAAGATAATAGCTATCACTATCAATATAACACTGGATTTTTTCACTGATTACTTTAGTCTTTAATAATTTCAAAAATTATTAACGCATAAGTTGCAATGATTCGTTGTTGCATGTCTTGAGATAGTTGGTTCTTCTTTATAAACTATATATATCTTTTATTGTCCCATAAAAAGTCCAATGGCATCTGATGAATGATCTATATGGCTCCCAGTCTATTCCAGCGATTTGCAAATTTTTCATTAATTTATTTCTTGTAACCAACGAAAAATGATCCGAACATTCATCGTGTTGGTATCACAATGTTCGTCGTGTGATTAAAGATAAGTTTTCTAAAAGACCCATATATACCCAAAAAATGTACCTATTGGTGTGTTTCCATTTAGATGTTCATCGATAAAATAAGGACTAATAATTTTGTTAGCTACGATTAGTATTCATAGTTCTTATTTCAACACATCTTAAATAATGTTTTAAGATGCTACTAATACGGTTTTATGATCGGTTCGTAACATATCTTGAGGCTGTACTTAAGATAATCTTAAAATATATAAAACTTCTA